TACAATGAGTTTCATTTGTTGTTCTTTCCTTGTTTTGTGCTGCCTACCTGTGTCTTCAGTAACTTATTTCATTGACAGGAAGTATGTGCAAATGAAGCTTTCAGTGTGAAGTATCTTACTGTGTTCCTTAGCAAAAACGTCACCTATAGAAACCTATATAAAGCAGTAAATCATACTTACAGGGTACCAGAATTTTATCTATTTTAATATTACACTCTTTGAGTCTGCTTGATAGGAAGGAAATGTGTGTATTCTAACACTTAAATGCATGTATGATGCGGGGGTTTTTATGAGGGTAATGACTAGTAGATGGTAACTAAAATGTTAATGTGTTGTCATAAGAAGAAAACCATTCAATATCTTGATGCTGCTTCCCTGCTCTGCACTTTAGCTTATGCCCAAGCAAGGGATCCTGGAGGGGTGAATGCTGTCTTACTGGTAGTGAGAAAATTATTAATTCTCTTGACCATTACTTCTTATTCTTGTGCTTGCTGATCTGTAGATGTGGATTGCCATAAAGAGGTGAGCTGAAGTGTTGCATTGAGCATATAGTCCACTATTAAAGGTAAAATACCTGGTTAAACCATGCTGCACAGACAGAGGTACATCACTTTATACAAATGAAACTATAGCTGTTACACAGTGCTGCAGTGTAAAAAGAAAAACCAAACATGTGCTCTCTGCAGGTGAAGTGAAAGACAACCACTGAAAAGTGGGTCAGTTAGCATCATATAAATGGTCAGTTTGATCCATTTTTCAATTAGGTTTTTAATGTGAAACATTAAAGGCAAAAAAGTAAATGCTAACCCTGTGTATGGAACTTGGGGAATAGTATTAAGGGCAGCAGATGTCTTCATTTCTCCATCATGCATCAGAGATGGGGTCAGCTTTGTATTAGCACATGGGTAGTGATGGATGTAGAAATTGCACATAGTAATTTTGGCTGCCCCCCAGCAAAATACTTAAGGGAGATCAGAATGGCTGCTTTGGACTCTACCTGGAGCTGAGGCAGCATGCCACCAGTCAGCGTGTCTGAGCAGAGGGCGCAGCAACTGGAAGGAGTGAGGACTTCAGAAATACGTTTTGGGGGCTTCACATGTATCTCCACCCTAGGATGTAGTTTCCTGAGCAGCACCCCCACACCACACATGGCCAGCACAGACGCATCTGTGGTTCAGTGGTGAACTAGGTCTGGACACAGATACAACCAAAAAGCTTTATTTTTTGACTGGCTGAATGCCTTAGTCCCATGCACCAGCTGGTACAAAGCCAGGGCAGCGCTATGCATGGGCTGCAGCTGAAGCTGGCAAACAGGGCTCAGCATTTGCATGAGAGATGTGCACTCCCATCTTTCAGGCTGAGACATTGTGGTGCCAAACACAGTGGAAGTGAAGATGTTGGAGGAGCCTACATGTGCCTGTGCCTAACGTGGCTTGTAGTTCTTGCTTTCCTTAGTCATGGTCCAGTTAGGAGGCCTGTCTTAAGTCAGATAAGTGCCTGCAGTGTTTCTCTTATTATATAACAGTTGCCATAGCTTTTAAAAAAAAAAAATTTGCTGGGCTCTGGGGGAGGACATGATGATGATGGTACCTGTTTGATGCAATGATTTAAAACCCAGGTAGTGGGAAGAATGGATCCTTTCTCAATTTAGGAGCTTAGCTTGTGTTTTTTGCCATTAGGTGTGGTCTGTAGCAAGCGGGCTGTTTGGCACAGCCTCAGCTTGCCATTGTGCAATCAGGACCATTTCTAATACAAGCTTCCTAACCCATCCTGGGCTCTGTAGAGACCCTTCATAAGACTGGGCATTCCCTGGTAATAGCCTTGGCAGTGGAGCTTTTAACTAGAAGGCTGAGATCCACCGCGCTGAAAACTGGCTGCTGATTTTCACATCTAAAACATGTATCAGAGACAGCTGAATAAGTTTCCTAGATTTTGCCTTTTGGCATCTGAGCCGCCTGGTGAAGTCAGGAAGTTTAAACCAAGCTACTTACGGCTTGTTTGGGGCGTGTCCTGGCTCTAGAAGTTAGTTCTGTATTTTCTCTCTTTTAAAAAGACAACAAGTTAATTTTCATAACATCTTATTTTTTAAAACAGACCCTTCAAAAGATGTTAGACCTTTGCTGGGCAGCTGTTCTCTTAACTGAAGACCAGTGTTTTTAGAATGGGCTTTCCAAATGGGTCAGCACCCAGGTTGCAAACATGTGGTGTTTTCTCATTTGTACAGATCCAGTGTCCATCTTGCCAATTTGTCTGGTGTTTCAAGTGCCACTCTCCCTGGCATGAAGGTGTTAACTGCAAAGAATACAAGAAGGGAGACAAGCTGTTGCGTCACTGGGCCAACGAAATTGAACACGGGCAGAGGAACGCCCAGAAGTGTCCAAAATGCAAGGTGAGCTGTTCTCCCTTGGCTTGCAGGTAGTGACTTCAAACTGTTTAAGTATGTATTTAAAGTATATATTTATAACTTCTGCTCAGTATGGGAAATGGAATTCACAAAGTGCAGATTCTTGTCAATTGAGAGAAACAGGTCATGTGTTTAACTTGGTGGTTCCTGCACTGATTCTGCAGAATCTCTGGATGTAAAAGAAAGATATTAGAAATCATAAGAGCGGGTTTTGATGTATGCTTATAAGCATGAATGTGTTTTACAATGAATGTGTTTTACAGAATAAATTATTCCTAAATTAAAGCTTCAAAGAAGTGGAAAGCTTTAGAGACATATGATGCCCTTTGTCATGTTTTTCAAAGACCTTGGGTGAATTCAACTTCTGAGTAAGGCAGAAAGTACTTTATCAACAAGTTAACTTAGAGCATCTTTAAGATTTGGCAAAACCAGAAGTTTTTTAGGATTAAATGTCAGTTCTTCACAAACCTTCTTCTTGAATTAGCTTGTCAACACTGGAGTCCCACCCCCTAAAAATGTCACTAATCTCTTCCAGGATAGGAAGTATTTCTCACTACTCAAATGAGATGCGACAGCCTCACGCACCCCTGCCCTGGCTGCCCTTAATGAAGGTGGCCATTATGGTTTTTTACTGCTTTTTTTTTTTTTTTGCAGCGCTTATCTCCAGCTACTGACAGAATATACTGACAGAATAGTTATGTCCAAATTAGATTATCCTTTTTATTGAAATGGAGTATGCAGTCTAACCTATCTATTGCTCTTACGTCTGCTTCATGGAGAGGACAAAGCGAACTTGGGGATTTGGTAGGAAATAAATGCTGAATGGGAAGATGTACTTCTAAATGTCGGAAGTATACTTTTGTCTGCTTTAAGCCTTACCCTGTGCGAGTAAAAGAATGAAGAATGTTTATTAGTTACTAGGTAATTTATTTTGGTCTTTGGGAAAGAAATGCCTGTGGTGCCATAGCTGGAAATTGAAAGATTTCCAAACACTGAGTAAAATTCAGAAAGCTCTGAAATCAGCAGTCGGTTGTTTACCCTTCCTCCCTCTCCCACACACATGACATTATAACAGAGTTTTAACAGCTTTGTTTGGTAAGAGTTGATAGGTTTGAGCCAGTTCTAAAAATGTTCGCTTTCTGGCCAGTCTTACAGTAAAATACTTTTACAAACTTTGCTCCTTTTGGACTGGGAAGTAGTATGTGTTTTGGTTTTAATTCTTTGACTTCTGTCCAGATTCAGTTTTTATGACAATGCAAATGGTGTAACTGTTGAAATAAGTTGTCCAAAAAAAGAAGAAAATGCACCAAGCAAAAAAGTATGAACGTGTAAAAGCAGGGGAAAGTGGGCTGGTAGCTGGAAAGAGAAAGGAGTTAAAACTGCTATCCCTAATGTGTTTATCCTTAATAAGTTTTAAATTTAAACTGCTGAATGTACAACTGTTTTCACTGTCTTCAGAAGAAAAGGCTGGACACTTGAAACTTTCTCAGGTTAAGTCACTTATTTTGAAGCCTAAAGTTACATGAGTTTGGCTATTAATTTCAAAAATACTTTATGTTTCTTATTCAAAATAAAATAAAACCTCCAGCATGGTGGGAGGCAGTATGGCAAGTTACAAAACTAGCACAGAAAAAGATCCTTTGTTAACATGTCCTTTCTGGTCATGTGGTGGTGTAAGTGAACACTGAAGAGGGAATTCAACCTTTTCATAAACTGTACTTGCTACCCCACTCTGATATTTCCTTTGGTTTTTCTTTTCCTTCAGAGGTGCAAAAATTCTTCCTGCTCACAACCTCCAACATGTTTATATCAACACATTGTTTGTATTTAAATCAAATCTGTAATTAGCAAGTAACCGAAAGAACCACTTACCCAGCAGTTAGTGGTACTGTTGTTTTTCTTTTTTCTTAATTGGTTATTGGGTAGTTATAAGAAATACATGTTATGCAGCATTCTTCATCAAAGCATTAACAGATATCTGGGCACATGGGGATAAACATACCAACAGTTAACAATGTGCAGTCAGGGGAATTGGAGGTAATATTTTCTCTGCCTCTCTCTCCAACTGTCCCCTAAAATCTCTCTCAAAAAATAACATTGAATCAGATGACTGTTGTATTTTCAAATAAAATAGAGAAAAGTGACAGAGAAAATAAACTTAGTAACATACTATTTGATTAATCCTTGTTCCAGATCCACATATTTTTCAGGTGACAACATATTTTATTTTGATATGTGTATATATTGTACTTGAAGAACCTCTTTCGTGTTTTGGTTAAAAATTGCAGCATCCAAAACTGACAAACAGATTGAGGAAGATTTAAGATTAAATTGTAAGTGTCATGATATCAGTATTCAATCTTTACACTAAAACTGAAGCTAACAGAAATTAAAGGTAGAAACTTCAGAAGAGATAAAACTTCTTTAATGAGATAACTGGAACAATTACTGGTAACTTCCAAAGTGTGATACTGCTTACAGTGTAAACTGTGACCATATTTTAGATATCTTCTGGGAATAATTATATATACACACAGACTCGCTCTGTAAGTAGCTATGCCATGGAGAAGTAGAACGCACCATTATTATCTTGTCTGGGCATGCAGATGAGAAAACGGGAACACTCTTATGGTGTGTGTATGTGTATATATAGGCAGATCCTTAGTCAAGTATTCACAGGTTTTTCAGTGGCTTTGGTAAGTACTTCAAAAGAACGTAAGCCTTTGTAATGTGAATGGTATTTAATGGTAGGCACCGTTAAATAAGCTTAAACTTGATTACCTTCTCCTGTAGGTCAACACAGCTTTAGTGCATCTAATAGGAATAGCTTATATTTACCTGGTCTCTCTAAGATATGCTTATATAAGCAAATACAAATGTTACATGTTGTCAAAATAAATAATTATAGATTCACATTGTCATATGTCAGTATGGAAATACTAAAAAGTGCTACTTTTTAAAACTAGATCTTAAGTTAATTTTGACATATTTCTCATTTTTAATAGAGCCTTTTCAAAGTTTGTTACACACTAATTCAGCATAGACAATTTTCTCAAGACTTGTCTGAAAAGTGGTCTTATTCTAGAGGGAGCTGGCTAATGAGTGAAAATTTGTTATGTGTTACTAGATGCCTTTTCATAAAATCTGTAACTTGATTTGTTTTTCTCTACTACTGCATTAGGGTGTTATTTTTTACAATTTCTTGCAACAACATGTTTGCAGCAAAATGTCTTTTTTCTGCAAGTGTTTTTACAGTACAGCAAGCCAAGAAAGTATTTCGTGTTGGTGTTATCTTACCACGGATTTCAATATCAACACTGTCTGAGGAAACACCAAACAGTGGCTCTAGCTTAGAAAGCTTCAAACAGAGACAGAAACTTAAGTAAACAAGGATGTAAATGCAAATCAAGGAGTATATACTTATCTGTGAATTCCCTGTTCTGATTTAACACGAGTGTTATCAAATAACTCAGGGCGTAGTTTTTGAAAGTGCTCTGCAAATTATTTCTCATCTTCTGAAGGGATATATGCTTATATATGAATGGATAAAGCCATGCACCAGGTTTTCTTCAGGAGTAGAGGAGAAATGGCCACACTCATCTTCAGATCTCTTGGAAGTGAGTTCCCTGGAAGATTTCCATGAAAGGGCATACAACATGCAGAAGGGGGTGAAGTGAGGGTCTGAAATAGCCACTGCGCTACTTCAGTTGTTTCTTTAAGACTCTTAGCTCTGTGTACTTTGCCATTGGTGTGTAATTTTTCACCCTTCTTGTTCTGGGAGCCATTCTTTGATTTCTGAATGACTAAACATTTCCCCATAAGGTGAGGGTATGTCCTTGGGTTTGAGCAGACTCTGGGAGCAGGATGAAGCCAGTAACACTGTTTAGATGCCTGACGCGGAAACTGGGCTTGCAGGCATTATTCTCACATTTTGCTTCCTCGACCCCCACTGTGCTGCTGGGGAACCTGAAGTTACAGGGCACCAAACCCCACATGGCTGCAGCTATCTATAGCAAGCTGCATTCCCAGCCCTGCACATTTCCCCTGCTGGGTGCTGCAGTATTGCCAACAGAGCAGGAACACTCATGTGATTTCTGACCCGATGGTAATTGCTTTCCCACCCTATAGATTTGTAATCCATCTCTGTCAGTGGATTATCCTAAGGGGAAGGAGGCATGTCCCTGTGAACCGGAGCTGAAGTTAATCTGGTGAGATGTCAGGTTTTAGGCTTGAAAGCAGCCTGACTGAATCATACAAAGTTCATCTGGCATTGTCAGTCTGTGTGCATATGATAGGAAGCCCAAGCCCTGCATCTAAGGTTGGTTTTTATTTCATGTTTTTAATGAATTCTCCCCTTCTAAAAAAGGGAAAGCTTTTGCAACAAAATATATAGGCAAGTACAACCACATGTTTCAAATATGCATGTTCTGAAGACAGTTAAATATGGGCAGATAAGTATCCACTTTTAAGGTTTTTAATGCTTTTAATGTGTAATTGCAGTATGTGTCCATAAGAAAATAAATCCTATATAAACCTCTTTGTTTTAAGAGGACAGTATGGGGGATCTAGAGCAGAAACAAGTAGATTCAGAAGTGATTTACGAGTGGTGCCTGCCTATCTGGAGCCTGGATGTAGGAAGTAATGTTTTATAGCCTAATCCTCTCTTTTGTGAATGTCTTTCCCATCGTATGTGTAAAAGAAGCATTTGCAAGTGGAGAAATAGGAATTCTGAGGTGACTAGTGTTGGCACAGGGATGTTAGCAGGTATACCTGGAACTACTGCTAAGTAAATCTGCCCTGGAATCTTTTATCAGGAGCATTGCTGGTGGAAAACATCACTTCGTTACATGTATAAAGTGCCAGTTTCAGTAGCTGTTCAGGTGAGCAAGACTTCTCAGATCCCAGATGAACCCTGATTAGCACCAGAGAAAAAACACACTTGACCATCTCAAGCATGTCGGAATCCCAGGGAGCCACAAGCCTCTTTTGAGGTGAGAGGCTTCCCTTGTACCTGAGCTTTCAGCATCTCTGGTCCTTGCAGAATACCTGTACCTCCCTGCAGAATAAATGCCTGTAGATATGGGTAAGAATTTCGGGAGGCATTCATTCATCCATCGCAATTTTCAACAAATAAAATTCTAATTGGATGTAAGGGAAAAAAGTATTACCAGGGAGGGTGGTGAAGCATGGAACGGGTTGCTTGAAGAGACTGGGACATACCCATACTTGGAAGTTTTTAAAATCTAGTGGAATGAAGCCTGGAGCAATCTGATCTGACTTTGAAGTTAACCCGGCTTGGAGTTGGGGGTTAAAATAGATGACCTCTGAGGGTCATGTTCAACCTCAATTATTAGGTAATTTTATCTTCCATTCACTGTGGGGTGTGATCTTGGGACGGGGGGTGGGGAGGTCTTTAGCAATTTTGTGACCTTGGAAAAGTGTGTTTACCACCCTGTTAGCTATATTTTTAATTGACAACATTTAGTAGTAGCTTGTAATCATAGTTGATGTAATGAAATATTCAGCCTCAGGACTACCCTCTTGCCTAAGACTCTCAGAACTATTAACTAAAACCGAAGCCTTACTAAATCTGTGCAAAGTAGGTAAATGTACCAGTTTTGCAGAAAAGTACGTGGAGATACAGGAATGGGGCTACTTACATAGGCAATCAGCAGAAGGATGGATGTAGATCCTAGGTAGCCCAGCTTCATGCTGTCCTGTGGACAGTATGAAAGCTTGTTGTAATTCTTTGATACAGTTTGTGGAATATCTTTCTTTTTTTTTTTTTTTTTTTTAAATATAAAAATCCCATATTTTTAAAATAATTCCCT